AGAGAGAGAGAGAACTCTATACGAACCGATGTCCCTTGAGGTCAGCCTAGCGTGACTACCTATCAATTGCTGAGACTGTGTCTGGCTCGCCTAAGTGATGCGATGCTGGATATACTCGCTTAGATATTCTACGAGCTACTTCCAACGTTGATTTCTCGTAAATGCAGCAACGAGATAGTAACCGAGAGTCTACACACGTATGCATATGAATAGGTATGTACCTAACTATATACATAAATATATATATATACATAAATATGTATATATATATATATATATATATATATATATATACATAGATACATATATATATGTGTGTGTGTGGGGTGGGGCGTGCGTGCATGTGCGTGTACATAAAAACATATAGATACATATATTATATATCGAGCAATTTTTTGTCTCTCTCTCTTTTTCTTGATGTACGAGAGATTTTAACTACTACATTTTTCTCGTTTCTTATCCTTTCGATTTTACAAGAACGAACTTGCGACAAGTTTGATGCGTAAAAGGGATTTAGACGCTAATTCAATGAGACGTATCATTTTCTCAATGCTTTTTCAAGATTGAAAGAGAGAGGGAGAGAGAGAGCGAGAGAGAGAGAGAGAGAGAGAGAGAAAGAGAGGGATATTCTTGGAGAATTTTGAAAAAATTATTTTCATATGAATCGATCAATAGTCAGTCTTTCTTGCAAGATCGAAAAATTCCATGAAGTCGACGATCTTACATGCTTCGAGATTACAATTTCAAAATGAGATGATATTAGATGTTAGAAGATGTTAGTAGATGTTAGAAGATGTTAGAAGATGTTAGAAGATGTTAGAAGATGTTATGACTATAATTATGATTCGTCGTTTTCAAAAGGACAAGAGAAAAAGGGAGGGGAGAGAAATTGAGAGAGAGAGACTCCGGCAGCTCTCTCCGCGGGCAATCGGCCGGAAGAGTTTCGCACGTCGCTCGCGTCAGATTCAACGCGATTATGGTAACGAGTTACGGAAAGTTCGACGCACGCGACTGTATTAAACTTAAAAGCCATCGAGCGAATGCGAGAGAGAGAGAGAGAGAGAGAGAGTGAAAAATAGAGAGAGAGAGAGAGAGAGAGAGAGAGAGGGAAATTGGAATTTCGCTACGAGATAATTTCGAATGGAAGAACTTCAAAATATGCGAGTGAACTTAAGACGAAAATCAAGAAGTATCTATTCAATGAAAATTGTGTTTTATTTTTTAAACATTTACTTAGTCGGCTTTGATTTCTTTTAAGAAGTTATAAATCAACGTTGCTTTCATTTACTTATCATTACAGTAACGAATGAATCGTTATTTTTTTTCTCTTTTTTTCTTTATTGTAAAAAATAGGTCTTACGAAATAAGTAAACTTCGTTGCCATTGCAAAGTATTTAATTTATCTTTTTTGGCATGTTGATCAGAAAAAAAAGCTTTCATCTAGAGAGTCCAGTCGGTTAGTCAGTTTTTTTTTTTTAAACGATCCCATAACTTGAGGCAACGTGGCACGTTTTGTCAGACGCTTCGAAAGCTACTATCATCGTCGCTTCCCTATCCCCTTTTGGCCCCTTTTACAGAAGCTGAGAAATATCATTGGTGTACCAATATTCCTAGGCAAGTGGAATATTTCTGCGGTAAGAGAAATCGTACCATCGCTCATCCGTCCTACCCGTAACGCGGAATGTAAAGCTCTTATCTTCTGCCCGGAGAAAATTTTCTCCCTTTTGCCCGAGCTCCGGCGTATTCTTACGGCGAGAAAGTATCCATCTCTTTTCTTTTTCATTTTACTTTTTTCTTTTTTTCTTCTTTTTTTCTTTTCTTTTTCTTTTTTTCTCTGCGTTCTCCTTCTTTCTCCTTTTCTTTCTTTTCCTTCTCTTCTCTCTTTCTATCTCATTCGATTATAAATTCGACTAAATGTCGGGACGGAAATCGTAACGTATGCATTGTTACATAACAATGAATATATTTACGATTCTTTTCCTTCGCAAAAAAAAAGGGAAATTGAAAACGTATTAGTTTTTGTGAAAACAAGATCTCCATTTTTCTTTCATGTCTCTTTCTTTTTTTTTTTTTTTAGCAAATTTCTCTCAGATTTAACGATCACTATTCTCTGTTACGATTAATTATGGGAATCGAATATTCTGTTGTTAAGAAATAAAGAATTCTTTCGAAATAATTTGAGCACCATTCGATCCGTGACTAAGATGTATCAAAAACATAATTTACTTTGGCATGGTATTATGAGAATGATAAAATGATGAAGAAAAAAAGGGAGAAAAGAATAGAATGGAAGAAAATAAAATGACAAGTGAAGGAAAAAGGAGAAGATTGTGTAGAGAGATTTACGTGAGTATAGTACAATACAGGGAGAGAGGGAGAGAGAGAGAGAGAGAGAAACGTGGACCATTGTCAGTAAGGGGGTATCTTTAGGATAGGGTGATGCATAGCCAGGGGGTATGTTTCGTTCACTACGAAATGTGAAGCTGGCCTTGACTGCTTGTCTCGTTTTTACTCGTACTCGGCTCGTATTTTTCTTTTTTTTTTATTTTTTTTATTCTCTTCGTTGTACTCTTAACTCGTCGTTTCTTACACACTCTATAAGATACTTCCGTGTCACTTCGTTCACCTTTCCTGCGATACGTTACTGGTAAACTCATGCCGGGGCTGGTTTTGCCCTTTCTCGTCTACAGGTTTCGCATGGTGCGTGCATATCGATCGTCTTGCGCTCTCGCGACGTGCGCCAAGAGAAGTAGAAGGAGGAAGAGGAGGAGGAGGAGGAGGAGGAGGAGGAGGAGGAGGAGGAGGAGGAGGAGGAGGAGGAGGAGGAGAAGGATGTACCTGTGCGTCGTCATCTTCGTCGTTGATGTGGCAGCAGCAGTCGTCGTCTTTAGTAAAATTTATTACTATCATTCGACGTATTTCGAAATTCCAAGCATTTCACGATGAGTTTAATCTAACTTTGATATAAAAAATTGTTTATATTATTATATCACCAAGTAAATATTTTTAATTAAGTATTGTTGATTAATATTCTTTCGACCGAGTTATAGTACGTGTCTATCTTGGATAACGTCATAATTAATATCGTCAGGATTGATATAACTTTAAATAAAACATAATATGTATACGATAAAAAAGTTGACGTAAATCACGAATGTTTATTAAATATTAATTTAGGTTATTAATTTCGATAAATAAATAAATAAATAAATAAATAAGATACTGAGAAAATCTGAACCAAAAACAATCTCAATTTCTCTGTTTAGTCAAATCAACAAATCATTCTCTGTCTGAAATTAGATCATGTAACGACTTCATGTACAGAGATGTCCTCGATGTGTGAGCATCGATCATCTTAGATATACACGCCGGTTGCTCTTGAGACGCATGATGAGCACGCTACGAATGCATCTACCTTGCTGTGTTGCAAGTGCAACTGCTGTGGGCAATGTGATTGCTACTGGTGCTATTGCTGTTGCTGTTGCTGCTGTTGCTGATGCTACTGGTGCTGTTGCTGTTACTGCCATTACGTTCCAAGCGAACGTAGAAGCGCACAGATTGCATCGGATGTTTCGTGTTTGCAGGGTCGAAATACGCACCGCTCTGTTTGGCACTTTAGATTATCGAGCATAAAGGGAAGGTGAACCTTCGGTGTGTGTGCATCTGCGAGCGACGAGGAACGCAATCATTTCCGTGCACACGCGCGCGCGCGCGTGTGTGTGTATATGTATATATATATATGTATATATATATAAGTAGAGTGTACATGCGTAGAAGAGAAAAAGAGAGAGAGAGAGAGAGACTTGGCAGCTTCAAGAGAGCCGATATAGGTAAGTACTTCTATGCTTCCAAGTGGAGTTCGATTCGAAGCTTCACGCTCGAGGGATGGGGTTAATGACGATCCTCGCTCGTTCGAGAACACGTCGAAATCAATCAACGTTCGATGTGATAATCGTGAAGATATCGATATGTTTGAATTATCTTATTGGATTCGTTAAAATTACCTTGCTATTTTATACACGTGAAATTCATTATTTCTCTGAATCTACTTAAGGGTAAATCTGTGTTTGTCTCTCTCTTTCTTTCTTCTCTTTACTTTTCTAGAGCATTCTCTCTTTTTAGATCTTTATAAATGAGAAAAGAGGAAAGAATGATATGAGGAAGCTAATCACTAACGCGTTTTAGATACTCTAATTAGTGTTTTCAAAATGAGCCACCGGTAGCGACGGAAGAACGTGAAAATAATTGATAATTCTCTTGAAAGAAAATTATCATAGAAATATATGAATCGTTTATAGGCATATTAGACGATATTTATAATAATATTTAGAAGAATTATTAACGGAAGTTAAAGGATTTGAAATTACGTTCTTTCTTTTTTTTTTATCTACGTACAATCGTGTCTTAAAATACGACGAGTTGAAACTACGAGAGTGGAAATTTGAAACACGAAAAAGTTTCCTTTTGTTCGAATTTCCGTGCGAGCAAACCGATCAATGATTTTGGGTGGTATGTAGGTAGTAGGAGGTAGGTAGGTATGTACTAGTCACACACGCGTCCGGTGTCACTCGACGTCGCTCAGCTTGAACTAGTTGTTTGCGTGTTCGAAATGCATCGAGTTCAAATTTAATGGCGAGCGTGTCTATGAAGAATAGAAAAGGAAAAACAAATATTGTGCAAATCTTGTTTTTGTATTTTTCTTCCTTTTTTAAAGAAATCTTTCGAATGTTCAATCGGATTTAAGGGATTTTCATCACGAAAGTTGAATATTTTCTTTATTGTTTCTTGGTATGATCGGTAGTAATGGTAAAAAAATCATGGCAATTTAAAAATAAATAGGAAATAGAAAGAAGGAGATATTATCGGACGAGCATATAAAACGTGACTATCTTCTAATGGTTGGGGGGGGGGGAGGACACGAATATAGTAAACGCGGAAGTAGGCATTGATATTGCAAACGAATATATAACGTGGTGTTATAACTGATGAAGTAATCTTACCGGACGTGACGTCGTGGTAACGGCGGTGGTACCGGGCTGTGAAAATTATCCATCATCGAGTAGGCGTCGTGTTCGAGCGAGGACTTGTGATCGAGCGCCTCGAGGTGATCCAACCTGAGGAGCTCGGCCTCGCGTGGCGAATGAAGTTCACAATGAGCGACGTGGAGCAACGGTCTCAGGGCAGAACCGCCTTCGCATCGTTGCTGCCGCGAAGGCGGTTTCGCCGTCGTCGTCGTCGACGACACCCCTCCACCACCCCCTCCCCCTACAACAACACTACCACCATCCGACGCAACGCGTTCTTCACCCCAGACTTCAAACTCTCCGGCTGCGGAGTAATCACCAAATCCACCGTTACCCTTCACCGTTGCACACTTCCCTCGACTCTCTTCCAAGAGTCTGGGGCAAGAAGAGCCCCGATGATCTTCGCTGAGTCCTTGATTACGTTGCTGATGTTGTTGATAATATTTCTCCTGATCTTTATGTTTCTTATCCTCCTTTCGATTTCTATATTCTACTAGATATTCGCGCGATGGCAAGGAGAACGACAGACTGCCTCGATTATGACCGGCCCGACGACGAGCCGTCAGATTTTCTGATTGGCTGCAACGATTAGCATCTATCACCGTCGTTGCTGCTTTCGTTATCTCTTTGATTTTTTTTTATTGCTCCTACTTCCCTCCTCCTTCTCCTCCTTTTTTTTCTTTTTCTTCTTAGTCTTCTTTTTTTTACGATAATCTTTCAATCGTCCCTCAGATACTTTCAAGATTCTCTTTTTAAATATACTCGTGTATTCGCTCTTAAACACGACGTTGTTATAAACGAGGAAAACAAGATAGTAAAACGCGTACACGAGAGACCGACAGTGAGACCGAGACACACTCTGGACACGACGCGGAAATTCGCGTAAGCAAACTTTCCTATCGATCTGTCAACACGGAGCGAGAAAGTTCAACTCCCCGCCGCGAGCACTGTCCCTTCTTCCGTAGGGACGCCTTTATTCCTCGGAATTCCTTTGCAAGTTTAAACCGGAGAATCTTGATTCTTCGTTATTTTTCTTTTCTCTACTCTTTTCGTATTATTATTTTTATTATTATCATTATTATTAATATTATCAACAATTCTACTAGCGCGATAATATCCTTTATTTCGAATCATCCAACTTTCCGCAATAACACGAACGTCGATGATAGAAAATACTTTGACACACTTGATTCCGATTCACTCTCACAGAGACTGCTATCAATCACTCGACGGAACTTAGATAAATCCTAAGAACAATTTCACGTATTAATCGAAATATAACTTTTAATTAATGGGGACAATCAATTATCTCTTTTCCCTTAAAATCGAAGAAAGAAAAATCGACGATTAAAATTGACGAAACCACGTCGATTTTATCTTCCTTATCACGAAGAATTTCAAAAACAAGGAGAGACCATTCCAAGTCACTCAAAGCACGAATCTTTACATTCCTCTTTCTCTCTTTCTCTCTCTCCCTCTCTTTCTCTCTCCCTCTCTTTCTCTACCTTCAGTTATATATTTCAACCCTTTAGAAAGGATAAAGTGAAAAAAAAAAATAGGGCTCCGCACCATAAAATGATGATAATAAATAATAGAAATTCTCTTTGGAAGTTGCAGAACTTCTCTATTTCGTTCTATCTATCTTTCTTTTTATCTCTTTTTTTCTTTCACTCTAACACTTTTCTGTCGTTTAGAGATAACGTCGGCCTTTCGAGTAACGTCGCGCGCACACCCGCGACAGTTGCGGATCAAAGACTGAAAAGGCCACTGACTGCGCCGCAACGCCCGGCACGAACTGACACTGAGCGTCCCCACCACCGTCCTCTGTAGAAGCGCGCGCGCGCACTTAGCACGCACGCGCAGACGTCGACCCTTGCCTACCGGATCGGATCCTCTACTACTACCCTCTACAGCTCTACGGCTTTCTATCTCTATCTACCTACCTATCTACCTATCTACCTTCCTTCCTTCTCTCTTTGCCCATGGCTATGCAACCCTCGAGAGTGAGCGCTGACTAGCGGAGGCCGCGATAACTAAAAACTCACCCCTTCCAATATCGACGTTGCCTGTCAGACGAACACTCACACATCCTTGATTTCCCTGTTGCGCGTCGAGAAAACTGTACTGTATTTACGAGATACTCTTTTAAAAGAGCTTGCGAGTTTTCTTTTCGTTTTTCTTTTTTTCTCCCTCTCCGCCCCCTCTTTTTTGTTTTACTCTTCGCTTTTTTTCCTCTTTTTTTCTTTTTTCTCTTTTCTTTTCTTTTTTCTATCATCGAGTAGAAATGTTCGTAAATCGCATGTTGCTCGTGAAAGTGTTTTACTCCATAGTAGCTCTCCTTTGATACGTTTGACGGTCGAAGTGTTAATTTAATATTATTTTGTTTCATTTTATTTTCTGTACCACACTTATATTTATTTTCTAATTCAAAGGAAGTCGTATTATACATTGGCGATATATTCAGACGAAGTTTTGTTTTTGATTATTTGAAAAAATATAAATATATTTGAAGTTTAAAATCAATTAAAGCAATAGACTGTAAAAAGGAATTAGCGAGAATAGAATATACGATTTGCACGAAGCAAATTATTGAGGATTCGTTATTGACATTATTTCTCGGCTATCCTAGTGTTTATTTTTCCTTTTTTTTTTTTTTTCTTTTATTTCTCGAATTGCGTTTCGTAAAAGAGAAATCGTTTGGGTCCAATTATTTTCGTTCGAACATACGTTTATCCGTTTCTATAAAACTTGTTGACTGGTAGCACGGAAGAAAAGCGTTTCAAACGATTAAACTATAACTAATCGAAGTTATCGAGAATCGAGTTCGATCTCAATCAACGTTTTTTTTTTTCTACGAAGAAGCCAGTCATCGAGGAGTTTTCATTCTCTCTATTTTTTTGTTTTTTTTTTGTTTTTTTTTGTTTAAAACAAAGGAATCTTGGTATATATTATGTACTACACACAAGCTTCGCCCGTTCGAAGGCAATACATATTTTTCTCCGTAGAAAATATGCTTTGTACGTTAAAAGCCTAAGCTCCTTTACCGCGTTCTCGCGGTATTTTTCTATAAAAGTCAAAGGATATATTGTCGTAAAGGAGATAAACGACCGATGGAGAAAAAAATGTCGATAGACCGAACGAAAGGACTATTTTATTTCGATCTCTTATCGATCTCAAACAGGTTAGCAACAGGTACATAGACATATAATGTATGAATTTTTCTCTTATGAATTATTATACGAAAATGTATAATAAGAGAAAGAGAGAAGGAAAGAGAGAGAGAGAGGGAGAGAGAGGGAGGGGGGAACTGATAACCTAATGAACTCATTAAAAACGTACGAACGTACTGACATCAAATTGTTTGAATTCAACGATATTTTAACAGCACGTGTAAACGGATACTCGTTGAAAAATATATGCACCCAACGAAGAGCTTTTCACGCAACTCGGCAACGTACATAAGTACTAGTAAAATATGTGCATGTGGTAAACTCCCATAGTGCGCTTGCGTCTTTCGAAACACGTATAAATGCAAATGCAAGGTGAAAGATGCGATGGTAGATTACGGGAAACCACGTTTCTATTTGTAATTCTGAAGATATGTACTGAGAAAAATATATTGATACTTGCATGATCTTTTTCTTTTCTTTTTTTTTTTTTTTTTTTATTCCTTTTTTCGTTTTTTCCAAATAGATAGACCACAACTCGACGATGTTACATTAAATCTTTTCTTTTTTTTTCCATTTCTTTCCTTCTGCAATTTAAGAGAACGAAAGTGACAAACATTTTTCTCCCTCTCTCTTTCTCTCTAATAGCTTTTCAAGAAGGGTCGTCAAGGGAAGAGTATAGAAAATGGTTGGAATTTTTGAGGGAAAAATTAGTTTGCAAGCTGGAAGCACAGCTTAGCCAAGTGTTTCGTAGAAAGAAGAACTATTCGAAACGCGTAGAGAGAGAGAGAGAGAGAGAGAGAGAGAGGGAGAGAGAGATGTTCGTGGTCACAGGGTAAGCGAGCATACGACGCATATACATAGCTTTCCTCCAGCCGCGTCTTTTGGGGAAAGCCGACGCGACTTTAAAGGGGCTAGCCGCACGTGCGTTACGTGCGAACGACATTCCACGTCACAAATGAACTTTTCTATCATCGACTTCCCGTTCACGTTAAATCGTCTAGAACGCGTTACGATGAATCCTCTTCTTGGTCGTATTTTAAATGTAGCGGAAAATTTTCGATTATTTATACAGGATGAGCCTATAAGTATCTAAAATTTAAATAAATATTAATGTTTCGATTATAAGATATAAAATATGTTATAAGTATGTATATGAGATATAATAATAATAATATATATATATAATATATACTATATATATATATATATATATATATATATATATATATATATCAATGTTAATCAAACGTTTTATTAAAATTGTTTTATTTTCGAAATAATTTTATCATATTTTTTGTTACCAATTTATTAAATGTTTCATTCTGAATCGTTATTTAAAAAATGATCGTATTTTTCATTCTCTATTAAGCAGAAAAATCGACAGCTTTTTTCACGATAACAGTTCGCAATCGAAGCAAGTAGTTTGTATAAGCTCGGACTCGGGTTGTGAATTCTAGATAAGATCAAAGAACGCTCGTTCTTCTTTTCTATCATCCTATTTGTACGTCCACGCCAGTTGAAATGGCCACTACGAAAAGTGTAACTTATTTAACCTAATGGAATTTAAGCTCAACACTGAAGCAGATGCATCCACGATTTCGACGTGGATTCGTGATTGCTCGTAAAAAAAAAAAAGAAAAAAAAAAAGGGTCTGTGAAATCAGATCAAGTATCTATTCTTTCTTTCTACCGGACGAGAATTTGGTCAGGAGTGAAAATTTTTTTGCCGTTTAAGTAAATTTTTATCTGGTTCAAATAATTCCGTAATTCGGCATAATTTTCATTGAATAAATAATAGATTTGAATTAATATGAATGAGCATGAATATCACAATAATAAAAATGAAGATTAATTTTATAATAATAAATTGTCGATACGTAAAGTTTATATATATATATATATATATATATATATATGTATATAGTATATAATTATTAGAGAAAATATAATAAAGATATAATAAAAAATGTATATCATAACTTTCATTTAACCTCGAATTAATTCAACTCTGCTTTTCCATTTATTCTCTTCTCCTATTTACGAAAGGAAATAGAACGAGACAGAGAGAGAGAGAGAGACAGAGAGAGAGGTAGTTAGATAGATAGATAGAGAGAGAGGGAGAAAGAGAGAGGTAGATAGATAGATAGATAGAGAGAGAGAGACAGAGAGAGAGAGAGAGAGAGAGAGAAAGCAAGAGTGAGAGTGATAAAGAGTGAACTTGAAAAGCAGTAAGTAACTTTCCACGGGACGGCAGATCGCACGTAACCAGCGCGCGTCCCTCTTATTGCCAAGAAATCATAGAAGCACTCGAGCTCTCTTGAAACTACCCTTCTGGCACTCGTATGCAGCCCACGAGAGCGATCGGAAGGAAGTTTAATTATATCCTCGATACGTCGCGTCGGCTACCATTACACATACACGCACGAGCACACACACACACACACACACACACACACGATATACGAATTCACAGACAGTACTCGAAAATACAGCTTACCTCGGTCTTCGCCTATCACGAAAGAAGAGAAAGCGTAGAAGATATATGTAGAAGTTGTTTTATCCTCTATCTACTTTTCTCTCTTCATCTACAATAAGAGTATAACCTAAAATCTCTCTCTCTCTCTCTCTCTCTCTCTTTCTTTCTCCCTATCTCTCTTTCTCTCTATCTCACTCTTTCTCTCTTACTATAGAGAACGCTCACCCGTTTAGTACCTATTCTTGTGGAGAGGCAACCAAGTCAGTAGCGGCAACGTTCAACCATTCTTTGATAGGCCAAACTCTTTGGGCCTCTGGAACTCTGGAACTACCCTCTGGAACGTTCACTCTCTCTCTCTCTCACTCTCTCTCTCTCTCATACCTTAAGAGTGGGTTGCCATAAATGTACGCATAGGAACGTAGAAACGAGATGGAAGAAAGGAAGGAAGGATGAGGATGGATGGATGGATGGAAGAAGCGTAGTATAGTAGAAGGAAGAGAAGAAGGAGGAGAAAAGAGGAGGAAAAGGAGGACCGAAGGCATGTCCACATGCGAGAGCCTGGAGGAGAAAAGTCGCGACAGGTCCTTTGATGTCGTTTAAACAGAAAACGTCGCTGCCTGCTGTGCTCCACGAGGATACGGAACCTTCCTTCCTTCTTTCCTTCCTTCCTTCCTTCCTTCTTTTTTACTTCCTTTCTTCCTTCCTTTCCTACCAACTCATACACGTACGTACAGACATACAGACATATAAATAAATATATATATATATACACACACACACACATATATATATATTTCACTCTCGTCGTATTGGAGAAAAGAATACCGTCAGGAGAGCTACTTCAGACGCAATGCGTCATACAACGAAAGGTCGGCCCTCCTTTAAATCTATTTCTTTCCTTTTTCTCCGTAATCCTTATCGTTCTCTCTCATCTCTCGTTTAGTTCTGGCTCGTTTTGTGAGACCACGATGACGTGGAATAACAACAGCAGCGGCAGCAGTAACCGCAGGAGGACGACGACGATAGCAGTCTCCCAATGTTTACAAATGTCCTGGCTGGCTTCGTTCACTCATTCATTCGTTCGTTCATGCCATAAACACTCTACTTCCTTCTGTCTGTTACCTATCTCTC